CAACAAACAAGCTAGGGAGAGGTTATAAGTACTTATTTAAATAGAAAAACAAAACTAACTAAAATAAAACCTAAACTTAAAAGATATAGCTTGGGTTACCTCCTTAAAAACGTTTCTTTATAATCACTAGCTTGACTTTGATACCCTCTTTTGGTTGTCTACTAAAGTACTTGAGGATATTTGGTGATCCAATTCACTCCAAAGAAATGTTGGAGACGTTGCCCATTCACTCTAAATGTTTCAATAGCTTCACTACAAATATCTATTGCACCAAAAGGATACATCATAACCACTTTGTAAAGACTTGACGACTTTGATTTTTGTCTCAATGGAAAGAGCTTGACTAATTTGGTCAGTAACACTTATTGTCCCACCTTAAAATCACTATCACTAAAAGGTGATAAATTATGCTCATCATAACACTGATTTATTTTGAGGTGTAATGGAGGTGGCTCTAACTCAAGAGTTGGTGCTTGCTTACTTGTAGGTGGTGGAATAGGATTACCTTTACCTTTATCAGCTAAGTCCACTCTATAGCATTAAGCTATGGATGAAGGGTGTTTAGGTCCATTGAAGATAGTAAATTCAACTACCTCTTCCTCAACTCTGAAAGTTATTTTGCCTTTCCTTACATCAATTAGTGTGCCTGCAGTGGCTAAGAATGGATGTCCTAGTATGGTCGAAACTTTTTGATCTTCCTTCATCTCAAATAAAAGGAAGTCCACTAGAATGTATAGTTTCCCCACCTTAAGCAAGACATCCTCTATAATCCCACAAAGGTGCCTCATTATTTTGTCTACTAATTGTAAGGTGATTGTAGTTGGTTGAATCTTCATTAATCCAAGTCTCCTAGCAATAGACAATGACATAATTGAGACACCAGCACCTAAATCACATAAATTTTTCAAAAAATTAAAATTACTAATTGAACTAAGGATAGAAAAACTCCCTAAGTCTTTAAGCTTTGGTGGAAACTTGTTCTGGATCATCACGCTACACTTCTCAGTGAGTGTAATTGTCTTAAAGTCCTCTAATTTCTTTTTTTTTATCAATATGTCCTTCAAAAACTTCACATATGATAGCATTAGCTCTAAAGCTTCTGCAAAATGAATGTTGATGTGAAGTTTTTTGAATACCTTAAGAAAGTTTTGGAAGTGCTTATCAAGCTTTTGTTTCTAAAGGTATTGAGGAAAGGGTGGTGGTGGTCATGGTAAAGTTGTCTCTACTTTCTTCTCTTGAATTTGCTTGTAAACTGCCTCAATCACTATTTCATTCTCAACAAGTTTATCTTGAAGAGTAACTTGCCTAACATTATTTTCAACTCTTTCCCCTCCTTAGGGTGATTGCCATAACTTATTCTTTACCTTCTCTTTTTGGATGCACCTTTATATCACTAGGTAGTGTTCCTTAAGGCTGGTTGTTTAATAAATTGGCACGTTGACCACTTTGAGTCTCAAGGTTTTGAAGTGAAGTTGCTTGACTTTGAATGAGAACCGTTTAACTTTGTATGATGCTATCATTCTATGTCATGTACTACGTTAGAAAATCTTCTATAGTTGGCTTTTTTTTTTCTAAAAGAAGTGCTTTAGCTTACTGTTGGAATCCTGGCGATGCAATTGGCCTTGAAGTTGATGATGACCCTTGATTATTAACCCAAGAGAAATTATGATGATTCCCCCACCCTAGGTTATACATATCGAAATAAGGGTTATTATGCTACCCATTCGCCATAAATTGTACTATTTCCATTGAGCTAGGACACTGATGGCTGGCATGATTATCTCCACAATACTCACACACTACAAAAGGGCTTTGAATGGAGTTAGTAACAAAAGATTCAAGTGTCTTAGTTAGAATAGCTACCTAAGTGGATAATGCTGAAAAAGCATCTACATCATGAATTCCAATTACTCTCCTATGCATTGATCG